GCGTCCTCCTCGCGCTGCGTGACGATGGCGTCGGGCGGGGCCACGGCTGGCTTCGTGGGCCTGGGCATCTGGGCCGAGGACCTGAGCTCGGACAGCCTGAGCAGCCCTAGGAGAGGTCACAGCACAGGGGATGCAGGTCTCCTGCGTGCCCCTTCTCCGTCCCAGCTGTCCCTACTGAGGGAGGGAGGCTCAGGAGGAGGCAGGGTGGGCCGCGGCTGTGTTCAGAGGCTAGGGTGACACAGCCAGGAGCCAGGAAGCCAGCCCCTTGCAGGCAGGGCTGGGCCTAGCAGCTATCAGAAGACCCTCCAAGACAGGCTGACATGCAAACAACCTGAGTTATGACGGGAATGTTAATTTAGGGCCAACATCTTGAGTTACAACCCAAATACCAGCTGATTGTGCAGATTTAACCCTCTAACAGTTGTGGAAGGAGCAACATCCTTTCCTGGGCCAGTGTCTAAGGACACTGAGATCTGCCTGTGTACAGGAGAGACTTTTAAGGCTGTGTAGAAGAGCCTGAGCCTTCATTGATCAACTTGATTTACAGCCAGCCCTCGGGAAGGAATTGAGTGCGTAAGTCAAGGATCCACTGTAAACTCTGCAGATAACATTTGCTATAGTTAAAACCTTTCACCTTACAAAGGAAGAAATACAAATAGTTAATGTTAGCAACACACAACATGAACATTTCATGCAACATGAAATGACAAATGCCCATCTTTCAGTCATTCAACTGGCAAAGATTAGAAAGCAGGAAACCAATTTTTAAAAAAATGAAATTAAAGAAGAACAATCTCCTGTACGGGCAAAGACACAGAAGCCAGGCCGGGCGTGGTGGCGCATGCTTGTAATCCCAGCTCTCAGGAGGCTGAGGCAGGAGGATCGCTGTGAGTTTGAGACCAGCCTGGGCTACACAGTGAGTTCTAGGTCAGTCTCAACTATACAGTGAGACCGTGTCTCAAATAAAAGAGAAGTCAGGTGCAGCATGTATGTGTAGGTTGGTACTGGGTGCTGAAACTCAGGTGGCAAACAAAGCATTCTGTGAAACCTCAGAACTGTGGGAGGCTGAGGCAGGAGGATAGCAACTTAAAGCCTATCCTGGAAGGACTTAGCACACATCAGTTCCAAAAAAAACCCAAAAATATTCTTTGATGCTATTAACCACTTAATATGCCACTAAGCAACTAAATTTTAAAATGTATTTAATCAGTTTGAACTTTAATTTTCAGTGGCTCCATGTGGCTGGGGGTTACCTAGTAGACTTCCTGGAGGACAGTAAGACAGGGGCAGGTCCTTCTGATTTACCTTCCTGTGTCCATGTGGCTGCATGTGCTTGGGACGTCTGGGGTACTCACACCATTTAGTGGCTGTGCCACAGCAGTGAAAGCCTGTCACGGCCAGCTCCACACTCCTGGGTGGCTCTGTGAGGGGCCCCAGCATATTGCTCTGACGATGAACTCATCAACAAGCACTGAACTCACAGCTGCTACCTGTGTGTATCTCTGCTTACTGATGAATCAGGTCCATGCACCACTAATACAGCATTTAATTATGAGACATGGGAAGAAAAGAAAATCAATTTAGCAACACCGACTCAAGATAAAAAAATGAAAAGGGATGGGGACATAGCTCAGTAGTAGGGCTCCTCTGGGTTTGGTTCCCAGTACCACACACAAGCAGGCACCCACACACACACACACCCACACACCCACACACACAGAACCAAGAGGAGAAAAAGGAAATGTCTTACGAGTCTCCTAGTCTCTGAACTGAGTCCCTCGGGTTTCTGCTGGCCCACAGGACCCCTCCGAGAACCCCAGACGGCTCCTGGTGGAGGTGGCCTGCCTAGTGAGGCAGCATGCTGCTGGCCAGGACTCAAAGCCAGCCTGCCACGCAGATGAACTGTGTTTGGATTTACAGGTCAAATCCTGCTCTGAGCCTACTGTAGTCTGCAGTTTTTATGTTACATCATTTTGGCTACAAAATAGCCCAGGCAACACAAGAACTATTTTCAGGCATGTTTTCAAAATATTCAAAATCTTTAAAAAACAGTTGCTTTCATATTCATAATTAATAAATCATCCTTACTATATAGAAACATTTTGTTATCTGGCACCAAGTGTGATACTCTTTTGATAAAAAATGTGAAATTTAAATTCCATAACTTTTTGGTGGGGGTTACTGGGAATCGACTCAGGGCCTCACACTTGCCCCGCAGGCACTGACTGTGCTGCTGAGCTATATATATCCCCAGCCCAAATTTTGTGACTTTTTAAAACACTTTTTTTTTTTTTGGAGACAGGGTCTCTCTATATACTTCCAGTTGGCCTTGAGCTCACTATGTAGCCCAGGGTGGCCTAAAACTTGAAGGGATCCTCCTGCCTCAGTCTCCTGAGTGCTAGGATTACAGGCGTGCACCACCACACCTGGGCAAAACACTGTTAAAATACAAGGAAGCCTCTGTGTGACAGGAAATAATCCCCAAGGTACTCTCCATCTTACTGAAAAATGATTCCAAGGCCACTGGAATCCCTTCTGTGGGTATTCTGTGCAGTATGTTGAGAGCAACAGAATGAGCGAGGGGAGGAGGCCAGCCTCGTGCCGTCAGTGCCAGGGGTCCCCGCTCCTCCCTCAGGAAATGCTGGCACCCAGAGTGACACACACCCTGTGCCAGGACACCGACAGGGCCTGCCAGTGTGTCGGTATGACAAAGCAGAACTGTCTTCTCATTGTTCTCAGACCAAAATAAGACTCAGGAGAAACCCGAAAACAGTGCTCCTGCACACAAAGGGTCCCTCAGCTGTACCCCACTTTGGAGACCACTACTTCATAACAATAAAAAAAACAATAAATGAAGCTGGTGTGTGGGATGTCCTATGTCCAGTTCCAGGGGCTGGGGTCTGAGGCTAGGCTTGGCAATGTGAGAGCTTGTCTCAAAAAAGGACAGAAAGAGAAGGAAAGAAAAGTAAGAAAGAACCAAAATGTCCATCAGCTGGAATCTGTTCAACTATGACGTGTCTGTACTATGAACCACTATGTAGTGCTGAGAAGGCAACAGTGGGTAGGTTATGTGGTTTATATTTTCTTCCCTTTGTTTATCACTATTGTATTGGGTGGTTTTTTTTCCCCCCTTTGGTATTGGGGATTGAACTTGGGACCTTGAGCTTGTGAAGCAGGCGGTGGCACCACTGAGCTCAATTCCCAGCCCTTTATTGAGTTTTCTATTTTTTTATTTTTTGAGGCAGGGTCTCACTTTGTAGCCCAAGCTAGCCTGGAACTTGGAGTGATCCTCCTGCCTCAGCTTCCTGAGTGCTGGGATTACAGGGGTGCATCACCATGTCTGGCTGAGACTAGATTTGGAGAAACAACTTCTCAAGGAGGCTGCTCCTATATACCGAGGGTGGCGCAGAGCCCGTGGTGAGGGTGCAGAGTGGGGAGCGGCTGGGTGTGCGCACTGGTGTTCCGCACACCCTTTCCCGACTGAAACACCTCTCACTAATGACCCTGTGAGCAGGGCTGGACGGGCTGGTCGGCGCCTGGGACTCAGTCCCTTTTAGAAAAAGGATCAATAGGAACAGGCTTCACTCGGTAAAACTATCGCATCCTCATATTTCAAGAAGCTATTATAAGAAGGGGCTTATTTTAGAGCAGTGGGTTACGGTGGGTGCTGACTCACCTGGGGAGCACGTAACAGAATCCTTCAGTTGCTTGGCTTTGGTTGTCACCTGTTTCAAAACAAAAAGTACAAGACCTTACTTTTCATGTGCCTTGCAGGCTGAGCGGCCTGTTCATGTAAGGCACAGACCACTCATTCACTAACAAGAGAACAGGCCCAGAGAGACAAAGTGCCGGACTCTGAAACACAAGAGCTCAGGGTCCCTCGCTGCTTCTAGATCAGTGATGGCTCCGCATGCTGGTTTCTAGATCAGTGTACACAGGGATTTTTGTGTCAAGTTAAAAATTTTCAGAAAAGGAATCTTCCCTGGAGAATACAGGTGAGTTAATAATCAGCAGGCAAAAGAACATTTATGATAGCGCTATTAGGACAGAAAAGTTTTGCATCCAGAAGGAAACCCTGAGAGCACACGAGAGACATTAGAGGAGTCCTGTGACTGAGTGGAGCAGCGGGCCCAAGGCCCGGGACGCCAGTCCCACACCGAGGAACTGTGCTCTGGGCTCCTCAGCCCGTTCCCTCTGGCCCTCCCCGCTTTTAATGGTACCATATTGTATGTCTCATTCCATGGACTGCCTTTCAAATGCCCTGAAGACCCATCTACATAGACACTTCTCTTTTAAAAACTGAGATAAAATTTAGAGTGTGTTGTAAACACAAGTCAATGAGGTTTTGAAAAAAACAAACCCTGGCAAACAACTTCCCAAATTATGGAACATTCTTATTATTCCAGAGTTCCCTTATGGCCCTAAGACAATTGCTACTCTGTCCAGAGACAACCACTGTTTTGATCTCTATTATTATTTTTTTTAAAATATGGGTTAAAAATGAATTTTACTCAGCGGAACCTGCACCTGCCATGCAAGCGCAAGGTCCTAAGTTTGATCCCTGGTACTAAAAAAAAGGAATTTTCAAGAATTTAATTGGAAGCTGGGTGTGGTTGTGCACCTCTCAGCTAGGGAGGCTGAGGCAGGATCAACCATGAGTTCAATCCCAGCATGGATAATTTAGCAACTTGGCAAGATCCTATCTCAAAAAATAAAAAGGGGTGGTAATGTAGTTCAGTGTAAAAGTCCTGGGATCAATACCCAATACAGTAAAACAAAGGGAACACACACACACACACACACACACACACACACACACACACACACACACACACACAAGAATAAGACTACTCGGAGATACCATTCATTACAATAAATACTAAGGACCATTTACTCAGAGAGACCTTAAAAACAACAAGAGAATGGGAAAAGTGGATTCAACAGCTGCTAGATGATGCAAAGACTAACCTAAGCTTAACTGGAGTAAGTGAAAATCAGAAGACAGCACAATGGACATAAAATACCTGTCCACAGATGTAATAGCATTTAAGTCAAAATTGACCAGAAGAGGCAAGCCATACTGGTTAAGGGAACAATTTAGTAAGAGATAACAGTTATAAATATAGGCTCACCGAACATCAATGTACCAAACTTAATAAAATGCACACTACTGGGTATAAAAATGAGATAAATACCAACATAATTGTAACGGGAATACTCAATACTCCACTTTAACAAATTGATCAACTAGACAAAAAAAATTCAACAAAGAAATATTTAAGTTGAACCAAACCTTTGAACAAATGGACTGGATAGATACCTGCAGAGTTCCACCTAACTACCACAGAAAATACATTCTTAGAAGGACATGGGGTTTTCTCAAGTAGATCACATTCTAGCCCATAAATCAGACTTAAATAACTGCAAAAGAATTGAAATTATCCCACCCATATCATCAGATTATAGTGCAATGAAACTAGAAATCAATGGTAAAAGAAACCATGGAAAGTATGCAAATTTCCAAAACATGGAAATTAAACAATATCCTCTTGAATAATCAATGAGTCAAGAAGAAATCAAGGAAAAATTAGTTGCTAGAATCACATAATACCAGTACAACATACTGAAAACCTACAGGGCACAATTAAAACAGTCCTCAGAGGGGAGTTTGTAACTATGAATTCCTACATTAGAAAAATAGCCCAAATGATGTATAGCCTAATGATGTACCTCAAAATTCTAGGAAAGCAAGAACAATCCAAATGCAGTGCTTGTACAAGGAAGGAAATGATAAAGATCAGAGCAGAAATTAATGAAATGGAGACAAAACAAACTAAACCAAACAAACAAAAACAAAATCAATGAATTGAAGAGCTGGTTCTTTGAAAGGATAAACAAAATAGACAAAACCTTAGCCAATGTAACACAAAAAAGAAAGGGAGAGGGGAGGAGGAAGGCTGGGGATTTAGCTCAGAGGGCACCTGCATGGTCCTGAGTTTGATCCCCAGTACAAAAAAAAAAAGACAATTAGAAATAGAAAAGGTGGCTGGGCGAGGTGGCTCACGCCTGTAATCCCAGTACTCGGGAGGCTTAGGCAGGAGGATCGCTGTGAATTTGAGACCAGCCTGGGCTACATAGTGAGTTCCAGGTCAGTCTCAACTACATAGTGAGACCCTGTCTCAAAAAACAAAAAGAAAAGAAAAGAAAAGAAAAGTGAAACAACAATGGCCACTGCCAGAATCCTGAAAATTATTAGTAAATACTTTGCAAACCTGCACATCAAAAATTGGAGAACCCAGAAGAAATGGAGAGATTCCTAGATACACATGAATTACCAAAACGAAATCAAAAAGCCTTAGAAATCCTGAATAAATCAATAGTAGGCAATGAAACGGAAGAATAAATGGAACAGAGGGAAGAAGTACTTCCAAAACCATTCCTAGAAGCTACCATTACTTGGATCCCCAAACCAGAGAAGGATCCAACCAAAAAAAGCCAATTTCTCAGAAGAACTAGATGCAAAAACCCTTAACAAGGAGCTAGGCTGTAACCCCAGCACTTGGGAGGCTGGGGCAGGAGGATGGTGAGTTCAAGGCCAGCCTGAACTACAGAGTGAGACCCTGTCTCAAAAACAAAACAAACAAAACAAAACAAAAACCTTAACCAAATATTGGCAAATTGTGACAAATCATCAAAAAGATCATACACCATGGCCTAGTAGGTTTTATCTCAGTGATGCAAGGGTAGTTCAATAAATCAATAAATGTAATACATTGCATAAATAGAAGCAAGGACAAAAATCACATGATCATCTCAATAGATGGAGAAAAAAAATCTATGACAAAATTCAACATCCATTTGTGATAAAAATCCTGAGGAAGATAGGTAGACAAAGACTTTATCTCAATCTGATAGGCTACCTACTGACAACATATTAAATAGGGAAAAACTGAAAGCTTTCCCTCTAAAATCAGGAAGAAGACAAGAATGTCCACTATCACCATTCCTGTTAAAGTACTCAAAATATTAGCCAGAGCCATTAGGCAAAAGAAAGAAATAAGGGCAAGAGCTTTAGCTCAGTGATGCTGCCGGCCTCACAAGCATAAGGTCCTGAGTTTGATCCCTGGTACAAAAAAAAAAAAAAAAAAAAAGAGTGCGAGATTAAAAGGATATATATAGGAAAGGATAAAGTTGTTCCAATTTTAGTACATGTACTGCCAAAGCGAGCACAGGAAAGGACAAAGTATCATTATTTGCAGATGACACAGTATTCTATTTACAAGAACCTAAAAATTTCACCAAAACTCCTAGAACCAATAACCAAATTTGGTAGCATAGCAAGATACAAAGTCAATACACAAAAATTAATAGCATTCCTGTACAACAATAATAAAGTCACCAAGAATTAGGGATGCAGTATCTTTCACAATATCATCATGAAAAATTAAATACCCTAGGAATTAGCCTAAGGAAGTGAAAGAGCTCTATGATTAAAACTATAATATTCTGAAAAAGAAAATCAGAGGACATCAGAAAATGGAAAGGTATTTCCTGTTCTTGGTAGGCAGAAACAATATTATCAAAATGGTCATACTTTCAAAACTGATTTAAGGGCCGGGGATTTAGCTCAGTGGTTCGGTGGCCTGCTTTGCAAGCACAAGGACCCTAGTTCAATCCCCAGTACCCCCCAAAAAAAACTGATTTAAGATGTACTATAATCCCAATCAGAGTACCAATAGCATTCCTCATGGAACTACGGAAAATAATCCTAAAATTCATAAGGAACCAGAAGAGACCTAGAATAATAAAAGCAACCCTGGGCAAGAGCAAGGCAGGAGCAACCACAATTTCAGACTTCAAATTACACTACAAACCTACAGTGACAAAAACAGCAAGGTAATGGCAACTCCCCCAAACACAAACAAACAAACAAAAAAACCAAACATATGGATCAACAAAACAGAACAGAGGACTCCAAGCACATCCAGCTACCTGATCTCTGACAAAGGGATCAAAAAACAGAGTGCAGAAAGATAGCCTTCTTAACAAATGGTGCCGGGAAAACTGGCTATCTACATGCAGAAAACTGATCTAGACCTATATCTCTCACCATATACCAAGCTAAAATCAAAATGGATCAAGATAAAATGGGCAAAACTCTTAAAGACTTGGGCATAGGTAAGGACTTTCTGGAGAGAACCCCAATTGTTCAAGAGACAACACCAAGAATTAACAAATGGGATCATATTAAATTTAAAAGCTTCTGCACAGCAAAGGAAACCACAAACAGAACGAAGAGACAAAGGCCAGGGATTTAGCTCAGTGTTTCCACTGTCCCCCTTGAAAGCACAAGGACCCGAGTTCGATCCCCGGTACCAAAAACAAGTTAAATTGAGGCAGGGATTTAGCCAGTGGTGCCACACCTGTCTCACAAGGCCAACGTCCGGAGTTCGATCCCCTGTACCAAAAACAGAGTGAAGAGACAGCCTACAGAATAGGAAAATATTTTTGCCATCTATTCCTTAGAGGATAATATCTAGAATATATAAAGAACTCAAAAAACTTAGAACCCCCAAATAAGAAACCCAATAAAAAAATGAGCATCTAAAAGCATGTGAGAAATACATGAAAAAAATGTTCCATGTAAAACAATACTGAGATCAGTCTTGCTTCAGAAAGAATGGCTATAATCAGGAAACCAGACAACAAATGCCAGAGAGGCTAT